AAAGTATCAGGAACTTTGAGAAATTTTCCTGGCACATATTGTAGCGTGAAGTGATATCTCAACAAGCGAATGGCTGATCTTTGTTTTTTTGGCGACATTTCATCTATCGGTTTTTTCAATAATCCCAGTAATGGTCTGTGATCCGTTTCAATGGTGAAACTTCGACCAAACAAGTAAAAATTGGAACGCTCACAAACAAAAACCAATCCTAATAGTTCTTTTTCAATGTGATTGTATCTTTGCAGTGTTTCAGTCAAGGGAACAGATGCAAACTCTATTGGTTTGTTTTCCTGATTTATCATAGCGCCCAAGCCATATGGACTTGCATCAACCGAGAGAGTGACCGGTTTTTTAGGATCCAAGTAGGATAAAGTCACCGATGATGTTATTAAATGTTTTATTCTGTCAAAACAATATTGTTCATTTCTAGTCCATACCCACTCATTTTTTTTCACTTAATAATTTTCTCAAAACGATGCTCTCTTGTGATAGATTCGAAATGAATTTTGCTAGGTAAACCACCGTTCCTAAAAAGCGCTGAAGTTCTCTCTTGTTTTTTGGAGCATTCATCGCCTGAATTGCTTTGGTATTTTGTTCATCCGGTGTTTCAGTTGTGAAAAATTTGGATTTTTGCATGTTCAAAGTTAAACCACTCTTTTTAATTTTATTCAAAACTAACTTTCAATTATAATCATGCTCTCCCTCTGATTTTCCAAAAACTAAATTACCGTCAAAGTATGATATGACTCCTTCTAAATTTCTCAACAAATCATATGTAAATCTTTGAAAAATTTCCGGAGAGCAGGTCAGTCCATAAGGTAAACGAAGGTAGCGGTACCTTCCAAAAACAGTGATTATCGTACATGATGAAGAACATTCATATGTTAGAGGAATTTGAAGGAATGCTGAGGAAGCATCCAATAATGTAAAAAATTTTGCTCCAGACAACTGAGAAAATAAATAATCCTGTGTTGGTATATGGAATAATTCTCTCTTTATATATTCATTCGAATTACGCGGATCCATACAAATGCGTATATTCTCATTACTTTTCGGAACTATGATATTTGGATTAACCCAATCAGTTGGTTCAGTTACCGGAACCAGAATATTATTTGAAACCATATCATCAAGTTTTTTTCTTCACTTTGTCTTTTAATGCAATTGAAATTTTTCGGGTTGCACTAATACTTGGAACTGCATCTTCTGATAAAGTTATTTCACATATCCTATTTACTTTTCCAATACCAGAAAATACACATTTGTATTCCGCCAAAATATTAGTTCATCATTTACAACACAGTCATAATTGACCTCACTTATATTACAGTTTTTTATTATTTTCAAATCTCGTTCTGCCGGTAAGCCAAGTAAAGATTTAGGTACTGTTGAATTCAAAACATGAAACTGACAAGACTGGATTGTATCTTTATAACGACACATCAAAAACACGGCATGTCCAGAGTATGAAGACAATGTTGTTTTTGTTGTTAGAAGTTGGTTAATACCAATTTTTAGTTTATTGAAGTCAGAATAATTCAATATATTGACTTGACTACCAGTATCTACTTTCAATTTGAAATCTGTACCATTTATTTTGAGTGTTTCAAACCACTCAATAGAATCAACAAAACAGTTACTGAAATAACCTATTTCTAATTTATTAATTGTCCAAACAATATCTTGTTCATATTGAGAATCATCCTGATGAATATCAAAAGTTTCTCCAATTTTGTTTTCGACATCACAAATTTCACCATCATTTACTTCATGGATGTCTCTTGTATTTTTTGAACATAGTCTTCTGTAGTGTCCACGCTGACTACATCCAGAACAAATTCTATTGAATGCAGAGCACTTACCACTTTGGTGATTCTGTCCACACATTCTGCATCCATGAATGAAAATTGCATTGCTATTCCTATAAGTGTTTGATCCCTGATACGTATATCCAGTTGCACTATTTTTCTCTGCACTGTAAATTCCTGAGCTGCTCTCTCTTCGATCACTGTCCCGACAGTTACACTGTCTCGAAGCACAATTCACTCGTTTCACGTGTTTTATAGCACCAACACTACCCGAAGATTCACTTATTTCCTTCTGGGTAGCGACACTGGTTTTCATGGCCCTGCACGTAGCAATTGCATCATTCAATTGCAAGTCAGCCGTTTGCAACAGCTTTCCTTGGATTCTGGGATCTCGGATACCTAAAACAATCCTATCCCTGATCAGAACGTCTTTCTCTTTGAATTCACATGAGGATTACAATTGCCTCAATGCAGTTACAAACTGGTCAACGGATTCTCCTGGTTGTTGATCTAGTTTGAAAAATTTGTAATGTTTATATACGAGATTTCTAAGTGGATTGCAATAGTTATCAAATTTTCCTAAAACCACAGCTAATTTTTTATTATCTCTGACTTCTTCATATTCAAAAGTGTTATTTGTTCACCACAATGAAAGAGATACGAATTTATTAACTTTCCAAGTCAACGTTTTCATCAGTGTCTTTTTTTTTGCTGTTTACTGCATTCAAACAAAAACCTCGCGCACTTTACCGCTGTCACCATACTATGTTTTGTTTTGTATCGTACTGGTTAAATAATAGCGCCAAGGTTTGAACACTTGTTGACTTTAATGTAATAATAAATACTTCTGGAACAATCAGTATATACATCCAATGGAGGCCATTCAGTACTGCCCGGCTCGCAATATTCATTAATCGGTTTAGGGACGACCACCGAAGTGCGACGTTGTCAACTCAATTGTCAATACAAAATGTGAAATATGTAATATAAATGATCTGATCAATATGAATCTCAATATTGATGTCACAAATAACCGATTGATTGGGGAACATGTAGAAATTCCTCTCAAATATAGAGAAAGTAACGACAGTAGTTTCAGTTTCTCAGTAGGTTCCAAAGAAAAAATTATAAAAAATTTACCGGTTGATATTTCAGAAGGAGATATTTCGATTGAAAGAAGTTATTTAGAAAAACTTGTTATACTCGAACTCTAACTTCAGCAAAAAACGGACTAGAAGCTATTGAAATTCAAAATCTTACAGATCAATCCATTACGATGACATTAAATAACAATATCAATATCGCAATAATTCGAAACATATAAATTCGAAGCTTTCTCTATCCCGCCACAACAGACAAACACACACATACAAAAGAACGATTTCTGGATTTCATTCGTACCGATCTCAAAATTACTATGCAAATTTAGTATTCGAAATATCGAAATCATTTCCTTCAAACCATTATTAAGGATGTTTCGCTAATCAAAATTTTATGCACATCAACTGCTTTCAAAAACGCATTTTTCATTGCTACATATTTTCAAAAAATAGGAATATCATCTAACAGAATGGCAGTAAACTGTTTGTGATAGGAAACAGAACCTGAATTTCTGTGGACGTGTTATTAAGAGAAAAGGTTCTTATGATATAGAGCAAGGAATTTATGTCAAGTTCATTGTGTGAGGAAGGGATATGACAACTGTTGAAGTTGACTGAGTATGAGAAATTCTGTAAGTTCCTCCAAGATGACAATTTGCAAAGTCCGTTTCCACATCACCCAGGAGGTAGGACTGCGCATGTGTTATCCTTTTTTTATTGTGGAAGTTTCCCCAGTAGGCATATCATAACCACAAAAAAAGTGTCTTTGAAGTTACTGCTTGTGCACTAATACTTAAATTTTGTCATCGTAGGGGGAGTGTTTAGAAATACCTAGTATCGAATTTACATCATGGCCAATGAGATTGAAAGAAGTTTTACATGCAGGCGTTTCCAGCATTTGAGAAGTGATAATTTTTCAAAAGATTCATCATTGCGGGAGTGAGCAGAAATAGTCAATATCAAATAATACATTTTATTTTAATGAATTTACAAAGTAATGATTATCCATTTTTTTCGGCTATGCAATAATGCCCCCATGGTAAAGTTTCATCAGAATCGGGTATTAGATATCTTTTATCATCTTCAGGGGAAAGGGTGATCTTCTCCTGGACGATGGAGTGCACTTGATATTCATCAGAGCGAATTAGTCTCTGAGTGACACTCATACATTTCCAATTGTTGAGACATTCTTCATAATCATCAAACGTGATTGTCGTTTTCACAACCGATGTTTAAACTCCCTTTGCTTTCTTGGTGCTCCCCAAATTCTTCAATTCCATCGCAATTTCATTTTCATCATACCCCTCATCCAGCAATTTTTTTCTTTTCTCCTCATAATCACCCTCAGTTGTTAGTATCTTTGTTGCATATAATTTAGAACGGAGTCCAACATAGTCCGTCATTGGTACATCATTGTTCTCGTCCTTCATCATACCCAGCACTTTTTTGTTAACCAGTGGAATGTTGAAACTGTTTTTGGAAGGATAGTCTGAGGTATCGAAGCGTTGATGACAGTCTCGCTTCATTATCTCGTAGGAGTATTGTCGCAGCTCGTATATTAGAGAATCGGTATCGGTATACATCACGTTACAGCCGTCTCCGAAACGCTCCAGCATATATCCATAGTCGAAGTCATAGACGGTTGTCTTTGCCAAATTCAAAATAACCTGTCCTACATATGTAGGCCTCTTTAGGAAAATTTGCAGCTTATTAAGCTCAACAGCACCATTGAATATGGTGCAAGACTTAAACTCAGGCTTAGCAATGTAGGCTCCTGCTCCATATCTACCACTCCATTTTGTGAGAAGTCTGATGTTAACCTTTTTCCGAACGTTCTCCATAGTTTTACCGAAGACTGCATTGTTCATTAACTTGTATAAATTTTTTTCAAACTCGTTTGATGCCTTTGCGCGTAACTCTGTATTTAAATCGATATAGGACTTCAGCCATGGACTTTGTTTAAATTTCAACACTCGATGGATTTTCTTCAATATCAATCCATGTGCTAAAGCCTGCTTCAATGCTCTGTAATGTATAATATATTTCTCCTTCGGTTGTAAAGTAGCCATCAACTTCGAAAGCTGTTTAGCTTTTACTGGAGGTTTTCTTGTCTTAGGACATATATGTTCCGGGCAAAATGGTAGATTTTATGTTTGTCATGCAAATACTGGGGATATTCCAAGTCCATTTCCAGAATGTATCCTTCATCAGCATCATCAGGAATCTGAGTGATGTCTATGTTGGAATCTGTCCTCTCAAAGTCTCCGTGTGGAAGATATTGGCTCATTGCCCACCCATACTGATTGTTGACATCATAGTACATCATGAATGTTGTGGGTTTGGAAGGATCGTGATTGTTGATGTACTTGTTATTTGCATGCGATCTCCTTTTTGAGCAAACTTGGCTGAGTCCCCCTCGTATTCCACGCTCAACAAAGAGGAACATATCAACATCGGTGAGAAGTTCCAACTCAATCCCTATATACTTCAGCATAGCATCCCACGTGTAGCCGGGTAACGTGAAATAATGTGCAGGATCAAGTTTATGTGAGTTGAGGATGCAGGTTCTGAACATTTCGAAAACATCAGCTAGCAGGAGAATATCAGTCTTCATATATAAGTCCACATAATCACCTAGATTCTGGCAGTTGAAGGTGGTCCATACATCCTGAGCTCGTTGATAAAAACGTCGGCGGCACGGCTTATTTTCTAGTTTAATATTAAAATCATCCTGAGATGGTAAAGCTGGTTCATTGAATCGACTAAACGAATCTATATAATCATATGGCATAACTCCTTTCTTCGTTAAAAGATTGAAGTGTTCCATAGGAGCATCGGCCAACTGCGACTTTGGATTGGGGAACTCTGGAAGATACGATGCTAATTTATCCAATGAAGAAGCCATAAAACGAAACGAGTCGATGGATATGAATTGAATTGCAAACACGTCAACATGTTTTGTGAAGGAAATATACTTTTCTTTGGCTATCGGGAGTAGATCAACCTTTCCAGCCATTCTTGTAGCGATGTCTCCAACGATGAAGTGTGCGTCATATCCACTCAAGTTATGAAAAACAACAGGAACAGAATGAGAGTCCTCATAGTTTATATCACACCCTTCGTGCGCGGGGCCACGATAATTATCACACGGTATGAGATGGTTATGGTCGCTTATTTTTTTATCTTCGGGAGTGAAGGGCTCTTCGCAGATGTGGCAGTGTGTAGCTCTTCGAAACTCAACTTCTTGCTCTGCAGTCATATCGATGTCGAATGGACACCAAAACACTGTAGTCATATCTTCAGCTAGTTGACTCACCTCATCAGCGAACCATTGCGTACAATCCTCTCCACGATATGCCCTATAGAAGGATAGAGTGTCATCGTATGAGCACTTCAAGTAGTAACCCACAGCTACCGGAATATGATGTTGAAGTTTTTTAGGATCATCAGTAGGCTTCAGAATAGATTCCAAGTCAGCGTGTACGACGAATGGAGTCTTTTCTTTATTTTTATGGTTTTTGAACTTGAGAATGTTTTTACCCTCCTCGGGCATCTTGATGGCTGTTTCATTGATTTTCTGGCAATCCTCAGTATGTTTCTGTAATTTCTCTTGAAGTCGAAAGTAATGTAAGCAGCGATCACAAAAGTACTTTTGACCATGTTCCTTACTCAACTGTTTCGATAAGAGCCTTGATAAGTTCATTATCCATACGTAGTGATAGCGGACTGCAGTTTCAGATTCATCATAATTGTCTGGAATCAGCGGTAAGTTCACATGTCTATCTTTCTTTGCCATTGTGAGATATGTAGGTAGGGTAATGAACGTTTTACATTTCTTTTGAAAGATGTAAACATTGATGGAAACGTTATTCTGCTTCTCAAAGTTGGGGATCTGCTTCAAAGTTATAGGGAACTGGATACCTTTCAGCTTTAATACCGTTGAATAGTGGTGATAAGATGACAGTTTATTTAGATCATATTGCGCTGGATACAGAGCAGAAACGACAGCCCAGGCGAAGCAAGCTTGGTCATCATTCTTAACATTGATACATGCATGCTTCTTTCGGATCTGAGGTGGCAACTCAATGTAGGAAGAGCCAATCTGAGGAGTAAACTTGTTGATGTTAACACCCAGATTAACCACTTTTTTCAGCGCCCAGCCGTAATAACGTTCTTGGAACTCCTCGAGATCTTTCATTATTGGCTAAATAATTTTATGTTGGAACCATTCATCCAGATTGGTGTCTCGGTAAATTGGGGAGTTAGAGGTGGTGAAATACTTGTGATCTCGTAGTACTTGCGCCCCTTTCGCTATTTCAAATTCACCACAGAAAATCATATTAACTTTCACAAATTCATCCTTTTTGAGGGCATCATGAATGCGGCGTTTAAAGATAGCATTTGAGTCAATCAAGAAAGACCTTGGGTCCTTATGTTTGAGATTTGAGATTACGCCAGACCTGATTCGGCTACTGAAGGCTGAGTCAGTGTCGTCCCAATGAACCCTCTCTCTAGCACCCTCAGGTCGTGGTGCCTGCCCTGCCCCCTTTTTCTGCATGGCTTTGAATTCATTACGCATCGATGTAATGTTCCTCAAACACGCTTCTAAATGTTGTTTCTCCCCCACAGAAGTTGCATTCTTCATTGCTTTACGAATCCTTCTCAAACCCTTGGTACACTCGTCAAGGCCCTCTTGAGAAATCTTATCATCATAGTTTGGGTGTTTATGAGCCCCAAGATGGTGGTAATATATTGCACAAGATCAGCAAACATTGACATGCTGTAATCACAAAAAAGTTAAGTATTGAACGTTCAACGTTCTGAAGAAGCAAAGCAACTGAATACATATCGCTAAACTACAGATTATATTGCTTGACATAAAAAGGGGTGGGGTGGGGAATTGAGGGTTCATTCTTTAAATGAAATCCGCATCACTCAGTTCATACCCAGCTATTATCGAAGATGGAAGCAATACGGTTATTTTTCGGTCATCAAGCTGCTAAGAAAATTAGACAGTTGAATATTGAAAGTGATTTGATTCAACAGTAGTATTGCGATAAAGCAATCTCTTGTTACATTACTTACATCAACGATAAACCAATAGCATTTACGCTGCTCTCAACCATGGATTTTGACCCTTTGAAAAAACATTCTAACCCGAAATCTCAATTATATTCATACGTTGGATGAGTACCGCAGAAACGGATATGCTACAAAACGCATCGCTCACATCAAGAATCACGAAGAATTTACAGCTTTTTGCAGTAATAAGAAATCTGAATTGTTATTTGAAAAATGTGGTTGTATATATTGGGGTATAATGATGTGTCCAATGTTTAGATATCCATAATAAAAATATAAAAATTTGAGTTTTTTCAATACTTCGATGAAAAATTTAATATAATTTCTATGAAATTATACCCTAATACCTTATACAGCTAAAGACTTGATTGTATACAAAAATATTTTAATAATCACCAATGCCCACAAACAAAGATATAAATCCAATGGACCTGTGAACGCCAACCGCACATGGAAGTATCGAAACATCATTTCATCATTGTTTCCACCAAAAAGAAGAAGGAATACTCAACGCACAACCCACAGTGAGCAGCGCGTGAATAATACTAATATAAAAGCTCACAGTTATGTTGATGACGTAGAACAACAGGGTAATTCGAAGTCAAGCAATTTCAAAAGAGAAAATCAAATAATCGTGACTCATAGATTATGTAGAGGCCCTCTTGTATTCAATAGATATTAAATATCGCTCATTTAAAATGTGTTTTATTCCAATCATAGTTTTTTACCAACAACCTCTTTTCAAATAATGAGGATGAATAGCGGAAAACGTTTTACTTCTCTCAACATTTGTGAATGCACACACACCAACCCCTTTTTTTAATCAGATATAAAAATCATTGATCAACGTTGTATGTTAACATAATTATTCAAAACTCATTAGGGAATGCTATTTCAGATCGCTAGTTAATATTCAGTACAATCAGTCCTTATAGTTGAAGGTTTCCATTCTGAGAATATGTTGAAATCTGCTTACTAAAGATGAAAAATTTGTTAAAACATGAGCTCATCTGAATGGACATCAATTAAAATTTTGAATGAAGCGGAGAAAAAATTTTGTATTGAGGGATCACACGTTCGAAACTGAGGTCCTCGTCATCCTCCAGTCGCCATGTTTTTTGCAGACGGCCTGTATACATTGTTTTTCAATGGGATTGCACACGGAAAACTGAGGCTTCCATCACACTCCAGTCGCCTTGTTTTTTGGAACGTTCTGTATATGATTTTTATCTCAATGAGACGTCCTATATACGTTGTTTTTTTCAATGGAATTGCACGTCAAAAATTAAGGCTCCCGTCACACTTCAGTCGCCTTGTTTTTTGGAACACGTTAATGCAGGCATGTTTTTTTGGAATGATGTATTTTGAGACATCATGTATACATTGAGGGATCGCACGTTGAAAACTGAGATCCGCGTCATCTTATATTATCATTTTATTGTATTATATTTTGAAACACCTTGTATAATTTTTCTTTCAACAAACGTCAATGAAACACCCTGTATACACTTTTTCAATAGGTCATGCTATATATTTTTCACTTGAATGCGACATCCTAGATAATTTTTAGTTAAACAAACAAAAATATTGTATGAAAGATTGACCTCGTACTAAACGATGAAAAATTTATTGAAACACGACTTTATATGAATAGAATTCAGCAATAGAAATTTTCGAATGAAGTAGAGAAAAAAATGATGCATTGAAACACGACTTTGGTGCAGTTATGCATATAGACTTGTTGGAGTGAAAATAATTCAATAAAAATGTTTGAACTAAACAATGAAAAATGTTGTATTGAAATACAACTTCATATGGATAGTATCATGCCCAAATTTCGAGGTTTTCAAAATTGCCTTGAATAATCGTTAGCTGAAAGGGTGTATATAATATAATATAAACAACTAGATAAAATACAGTTTTTTGATAACCTTCAAGTAACAATTTCTCTGGATGAAAACCATTGCTTATACCTGACTTTTATCAGGGAAAGGTAGGTTCTTCTAACACATTCAAAAAACCTGAAGCTATCGAATTTACGAAATGGATTTGTTAAACAAATTTTGTCGTCGCTATGTAAAACTGGTGAATATAAAAGTCCTTGATGATAAAATCAAACAATTGTCTCATGGATACTTAGAGTAATAATGTCTAAATTCTGACTTTTCAAATTGCAAAAGTGGCACGAAAAAGATATTGAAAATGTTTGAAAAGATACGGAAATTACTCGTATTTTCTTATCGATTACCACATATAACACAAGATGTGATTTCGAAACCGTCGAATCTATTACGTTCATTACCTTTGCCTCGCTTGAAAAAAGATAAACAGCTTCTTGAAAAAATTGATACGTACACTCTTCGGAACGATATAGCGATAAAAATTATTTCATATACACATGAAAAATATTTTCAATGTTCCTTTCCTCTGTTGAATTTTTCATAAATATTTGTGCTTTCACGTTTCAACTTTTTCACTCCCCACTCCTCAGTTACAGCCCCACTATTTTGGTTTATTGATCGTCAGAGTACACAGTTTGGAACTTTATCACAGTCTTCATCACAGTTTCAAAATGTTTGTTATTTCTTCATCATCAGCACACACCGTTTCAAATTCTATTTGAGTCTTCTTCAAACTTATAACGTTTTGGTTACTTGTTCAATCATCAAGAAACCTCCCTGGTTTTTTTATTTGTATCTTTCATCCCTTTTCAGTCACTATCAAAAGTTATAACCTAATATTTCCAAATATACTATGGGGCACAGTACAATTCACCTATGTAATTTATTCTTGCTACAAATGAAAATGAAATAATTCATACTTCAAAATATCCATGAAACTGATCCTTTGGGTATACCGCACTTGTAATTTATAAAAAAGATTATGTAAACTGGCACACCACAATTCACCTATGTAATTGAACATTGAGGTATATCAAAATGCTGCCACTAACTGCACTAACGTTAGTTATGAATAAAAGTGGTAAAAAACATAAACATTTTCATTTCTCTTTTCGTCTAAAACCTAGCAACATTCTGAAAAGTGGTAAGCAATAATTCCCCTACCTACGTAATTGATCCTTGTAACCTACCATAATAACAAGATTTATATTATAAAAATATACATAAAACCTATTCTTGCGAAATATTATATTCATGCTTTCAATACGTGAGAGTTGATAAACAAAGTCTCCTATTTTTCTTGTTTGTTTCAAAGTGTCGTGACATTTCACGTACATTTGTCTGCGATGAAAAAAATATGTGTTCACACAAAAACATTTGAGCATATATTGAAGACCGTAGCTAAGTTGTGTAAGCAGTAGACATTCTTGCCACGATTTTTTTTATATTTATTCAATTATCAAATCCGTTTTCAACAATGCCAGACTGAAGTTGTGAGCAATTATTCAAACTGCTACCTGTATATGGAAGTTGTAAATGTACCTTAAATTCAATAAAAATTTCTTCTCTGATGTATTAGAACAGTAAAACTCACTGCACTGGCTAATTATTCATTGTTAAATGTTGAGAGTACCCAACTAATGACTCATGGCTGAACCTTCAACGTGATAAAAAATTACTTCGGAAAATGTTTCAAATATATGACTTTAATTAGTATACAAGCAACAGCCCAAGTGATTGAGACAAAATATTTAAACTGCTACAATTCTAAATATAGCGTATGCATCTCATCTGAGTGCGATTATAACATTTTCAAGTTTGAATATGATTCAATACATGCATTTAATCAGTTATAACCGGATAATGTTTGCGGTCAATGATGGCGAAAAAATATGCGTTTGTTTCTGAACTTAACATGAAAACATTTTTGCTCATGGGCGTTCATAATAATTTGTTTTCATAGATTTTTTCAAATAAACAAAACTTGTTCTGTAATAATAATAACATTTTCTACTCTCATATATACCTACAACATACGCTTATTATGGTGAATACTCGTCAAAAGACAACTACTTTTTCGGCTATTACCACAACGACAATTGAATCTATCAATTTTCAAAACATTTTATAGTGGAATTGGGAAGAAATTTTTACAATTTTCGTATTGTAATTGTTGGAGAATGTTACAACTTGTATTATTTTTTTCATCAATTTT